ATACTATTACCCCACCCACCATCGTCCTCTCACATAAAAGAACCAAATATGGTGACGGAGCATCTGTTATGGCGGTGATTAGGGTGGCACAACCGACCTTCTAGAATTCCCAAGATACAGTGGCGTTTGTCGATTTCTTTTCAGCTGGACACATCCTTCAGTGAGCTGGTCCCACGGCCTCTAAAAATGACGTCCTCTCATTCGCCCCATTGGTAAAGATAATGCCTTTTAGTTATTTTGCTATTTTCAATCCATATTTTTACACCCTTGGGAGATATGGGCATTGCTTTTCCATTCTATTTTGTTGATGACTTTTTTTTTTTTAACTTAAAATATATGGCATGGAATTGAACTCTGAATTGGAACATGAAAACTTAATTTGAATCGTTGAGGAAGAAAAATTTAGTATTTGATATGTACATGTTTAAAAGAATCTAGTAATCTTACGATTTTTTACGAAGCCGAAATAAGAAAAAAGTTGTCTTGAATAGTCATTGTCCCTCTCAAAGTTAACCTTCAAGGTAGACCTCAAATTTTGTTTCTGTTAGAGCCTATATTAAATTATAGTAGCTCAAACTAACAAGGTTTAAAAAGACACGCTTCCAAATTTAACAAGCCGGCCATAAATTCAAAAAAAGTGGGGAAAATTGGGGAATTGGAGAGGAAAGGCAAAGAAAATATTTTAGAATATTTCTAGTCTTCGCGTTACGCGGAGTTCCTGGATTGTATAGGTCAGATGATAGAATGTAGGCTTTTATGGCTGAACTCAGTATTCCACTCACTAAAGAGCTCGGTTTTCACCATGTGAGTTAATGTTCTTGATTTTTTTCATCCCTTTATTTTTTAAGGTCTTTTTCTTGGATTTTTTTGTCGACACTGCATTTGCTAGATATTAACTAGATATTCATGCTTAAAAATGTAAGATAAAAAAAATGGAGCTCGTGGATTGTATGGGTCTGCTGATAGAATGCAGGCTTGCATTGCTGAACTCGGCGTTCCACTTACTAAAGAACTCGATTTTCATCATTTGAGTTAATCTTCTTGATTTTTTTTCATCCCTTCACTATTTTTGTTTTCTTTTTAAGTTTTTTTCTTGGGTTTTTTTGTTGACTCTGCATTTGTTAGATATTAACTAGATATTCGTGCTTATAGATGTAAAAAAAAAAATGGAGTTCGTGGATTGTATGGGTATGTTGATATAATGTAGGATTGTTTGTAATCTCAATACCTCTCCACATACTGATTTCAATTTGATTATATGTATATGCTGGATTCATATCTGAGTTGATATAAGCAATGTATGACTGCAAGCATCATATGCTGACTCTGCTTTATACAAAGGATTCTAGTTGCAATTGATGGTTTTGGTTATTGCCATAATTATTACAGCTTAGAACTCTTTAATTGATTGGTTTATTTTGATTAATCTCTATTCTGTTGTGTTTCTTGTCACTACTTGCAGGTGTTCCTTTTGGATCTCAGCTTTGCATCTCACTGTTAGGGGTAGACAAAATGTCCAGATCAAACAAGAACCAAACCAAATTGAGCGATTCGGTTCAGTTCTGTTCCACAAAAAAAAATGATTTTGGTTCTTTGTATTGAGAATCCTTTGGTTCTAGTTCGAGAACCGAGAACCAAACTTAATTTATAATTTTATATTTATATGAACCTGATCTTGCATTAATTGAAGCCAGTCCAATAGCCATTATTTTTATACATCCCATTAAGCATATTACTTCAAATTCAAACCCTCAAGAATCCCAAACGATGCTCTACAGATCCCTCAAACAAAGTAGTTGTGCTTGATCCAGGATATAATTTGGAGTTTGTTTTACATTGTATTGGTATTATGCACGACTTTGGCATGGTTGAAGTCACAAAAAATGAAGTCAATAAATTATTGTATACTTTGTACAATCAGTACAAGGGATGCGAAAGCAATACTGATGAAGATAGTGGTAGTGGTAATACTAATACTAATAATGGAGTCACTTTTGTTGGATGGTTCTAATGATGATTGGAATGACTTTAATAATTTTGATTTCGATTACAAAAAATTAAAAACTAGCAAAGGCTGTTTGTTTGGAAAAGATGAGATTCAAAGATATTTAACGGAACCAAATGAAGATGCAGCTGATGCAAATTTGATATTTTGAATTGGTAGAAGATAAATACTTCAAGATTTAAAATTTTGTCAAATCTTGCAAGAGATGTGCTTTACATTCATCTATCTATAGTTGCTTCTGATTCGGCATTTAGTATAAGAGGGTGCATTCTTGATTGTTTAGGAGTTATTTAACTCCTACAATAGTTGAGGCTTTAATTTGTACCCAAGATTGATTATGAGAAGAATCTATACATTTGAGAGTAACTCAAGACAGAATTTGTATTCAGGAGACGGAGTTCTATGAAGAAATCGTGTCTGGTAATAAAAATTTCATAAAATATTTTCACGTAACATCTTATTAATTGTAAACGATTTTAATTTATTTTTGTTTATTTTAAATGTGTATTTTGAATTATTTTTGTAGAGTTTCTTAAAGTTACAGCACAAGCAATGGTGTATTAAACGGATAATGGTTGTCTTGTTCATAAAAGCTAAGTTTCTTGGCTTAGTCATTTTGTCACCATCCATATCTATTAGTTTCAAGTTTTAATTTTATATTTCAGTTTCATTTTTCATTTTTCTCATATAGGTTTGGTGGCTTTATGTAAACGAATTGATTGGACGGAGGATGAAGATGAAACTTGATATTATTAACTTTTGGCAAAGAAGCATTCCTTTATAGTTTGTTTGTTAGTTTGAACTTTTGAAATCTCGATGATTGATCATTTGAACTTGATAAATGTTTGATGCTTATATTTTTTATTTAAATATATATTACTAGCTTATGGATATAACGTAAGTCTAAAAATTTAAGCAATAGATCTAGAATCAGACCAAACCAAATCAGAATCGAATGGATCGGTTCAGTTTGGTTCCATACCTTTAAAAAAACCATTTGGTTCTATTATCAAAAAAATCATTAGTATATGGTTCGATTCAGTTCTCTTAGAACCAGAACAAAACGAAACCATATCCATCCCTACTCACCGTGATCCCTTTTATAAAGATGAGTTTATCTTTGCCTAGCATAATTTTGTCAACTTATGTATTTTTTCAAGCGTAATTTGCTTTAGTTGCAATGAATTGTGTTAGGACATTTAAAATAAATGGAGAGTTGTTATACATTATCAATTTTGTCATCAACTTGGCAATTAGTTTACACCTGTTTTGGATTTCAATGACCTTTATTGGATTTTTGCATTCCTGTAGGCATTAGCCAATTGCTAGAGCACTAATTGCAATTTAATAACTATTATTAATGATGGCTTGTTATTTATGCAGGTTGTCTCCCTTATTTCATCTTATTTACAAGTTCATTTGCATTATCCTTTACAGCTAGGAGATTCTCGATCATATATATGTGATTTTGCACCTGTAATTGATCATTCAGTGTGCAGTTCGGACTCTTATTCAATAAGTTTGACAAGTTCGAATCTGGTAGAATTCCCTCTCTTTATAGAAGAGCAAGACTTTGCCAGAGCAACTTATGCTATGTTCTTGTTAAATAAAGCGTATAGCACTTCTTAATTTTTAGAGTGTCAAACCATGTTGGAACATATGCATAATTTTTGGAGCATTCTAAGATATTCTACTAATATCTTACATGAATTTTCTGTTATACAAGGATTAGAGCTGCACATAAATTTTTCTTGTTCATTTTGTTCCCATCCCCATTTTTTGTGTTTTTGCATATGAGTGTCGATTCTTTTTACTGATGTCTAGATGGTGGTGTAAGCTCATTACTCAACTTCTAAAATTTTCTGTACCTATTCTTCAAGGGATATTCTTACTTAAATTAAGCAACAGATTTTAATTCCAAAGTAATTTATTAAAACAATGATATTATCTACTTTTTGTAACTGCATTTGATTGTGGAAAGGATATCTGGAGTAGGTACTGAATTATATAAGCATTTATCTTCTATCATCCATCAACATGATTTTTATTAAATATGAAACCGTATAACTAACCTGCTATTAGATGACATTGGATTTATTTATATCCAATTTCGATTTTCTGCACATAGTTTGCAATCGACTTCATCACAAATTACATTGCTATTTCTGTGCCATGTCGATGACCTTCTCTATGTTAATCAATGACCTTTTCATAGGATTTAGAGGAGCGTGGAGACTGTACGCACAGAGAGTGCAAGCAGCACTTTGCGTGCAACACGCGGAGTGTGTGAATGTGCACTCGTGCACTCTTCGCGTGCGAGGAGAGGTATTTGCCTCTTCACGTTGTGCTGGAGAGGCACCATGCCTCTTTGCACTGCACGGAGAGACATTGCACCTCACTGTGTTGCACGGAGAACTCGAATTATTTTTCTAGAAAGCTAACAACTCTAATTTTTCGATTTTTAGAGAAATTCTGAGTTTTTCCATTTTTTATGAAATTTTAGTCAAATTTGATTGGACAAATTCCTTCGTTTATGTATTGTTTCCTTTTTTTTTTTGTAAAATTTGTTTTGATTAGATCTCGATCAATTTAAGTTAGATTTTAATTCTGTTTGTAGTCATTATCTTGATTTTTTTTTTCAATTTTTGGAAAAAAAAATCATCTCAAACATTAAGATAATTAGTAAATATAACATACGCTTATATTTAATATTCACCAACAAATGTGCAACTAGTTCTCCAAAGAGGAAAAGAAAATTTAGTAGAGGCATGTGAAGTCAAAATCCCATGAGGGTGCGTGGACCCGCTAATGCACAAGCCTTAACGTGCAAATCATGGCCTCTTTGAAGACATGAAAAAGAGGACATCACTCAATCACGCTCTTGCCCATCCTATTTATTTGTTTGTTTATTTTTTCTCAAATCCAAAATCAAAAGAAAAATGAAGGAGAAGAGAAATTAAGGGGCAATCATCCGAATTAATTTTTTGATCATTAGAGAAAAGAAGTGGATCACATATTACTGAAGAAATAATAAATGATGGTTGGCACCGTGAAATTACGGTAAAAAAAAAATTGATTGTTTAGGGATAAAATATTGCTAAAAAACGGGCTAAGAAAATTCTTTATCTAAAATGGGAATACTGTACCTACCAAAATCCGTTGTTTGATTCCTGGACCATGCACTTCAAGGATTGTGAAAATTTGACCGAATGTGTATATACATATCTAGTTGATGAAATTTTTTTGAGGGAGGAGGTGATTGCAATTGAAATAATGAGAACTGGATCTCAAAGACTGAGACGGTGAAACCCTAAAAACCTCAGCTTTGCTTTGCTTCACTTTAATTAAGGTAAACTACTGCTGCTGAATTTTAAATTTTGGTACGTAATCGTCAGATCTGCATCACCGAACTTTGATTATTTACTCTCTAGATCGATCTGTCGAATTCACTTCAAGGTTTAACCTTTAGGATTTTGTAAATAAATATATTGAAAAAAATAAATGATTTTTTCTTGTTTTTAGATATACCTTGTTTGACCTGAAGGTGCTGATATGCGAGAGGATGTTTTGGCTGGGAATTTGATGTGGCAAAACTTGATCTTTTGTTTCTAACGTACTTGAAGTGTAGAAATATATTGGAATTGACCTTGTGAAGGTGATTTGTTGATGAAGCCAGTGATTGATTGATGATTATGAGGAATTGTTAAAACAGAGATAAATCTTGGTGGAGGTATCTCAGTGGCTGCGTTGACTCTGTATATATACCTAGTGATATATACAGACCGTGGAATTGGAAAACATGTACGCAAGGCGTCGTAGTGGTGGGCTGGGAAATGGGTACAGGCCTAATGTGATGGGGATGGGCGGGGTGGTAGCAGCCTCTCGAATTTCACCTGAAGGTTCACTTAGAGGTCATCAGATGTATAATTCCGAATATAGAAATTATAATCGCAGTGGATATGGACGTGGTGGCCACTCAAAGCCGTTCCAGCCACCCTTGCCACCACCTTGCGAGACTGACATTTTTATGGAAGCTGGTAAGCTAGCAGCTGAATATTTAGTTACTAAAGGGATCCTGCCTCCAAATGCACTTTCAGGAAAGTGGCAAAATGTCGACTGGAAGAATCAGATGGAGGATTTTATGCAGATTTCTATGGACAGTCGTGGTTCAGTTCATTCCCGTTTGGGGACAGCTGCTGCGGATGTAGGTCCTGGCTGGAGAAGGTATTCTGATGAATATAACTTCATGGGGTCAAGAAATTCTATGAGAGGAAGGAGAAGAACTGGGTCCTCCAACAATCATGGTTCAAACTGGAACCCAGAATTTGTGAGGAGTGGGTCGTGGTTTGATCGGGGTAGGACTTCACCAGGTAGGGAGGCTGACCGTGATATTTCTGCTGAACTTCAGGATGAGCAATCTGTTCAAAAAGATAGTGATACTGGAATGCAGAGTTCATCTGCTGGCGAGATAACCCAAGAGAGTGACAATGCAGCTGATCTTCAATCGAGCTTAGAGAAATGCAATTTACCTCATGATGCAGGTGCAAAACCAGGTTCTTCTAGCAATGAGAATGATGTCCCATCTAATGATGATGTGGAAACACCCATCAAAGAGTCAGATGGTAATTCTACTATGTCCAATGAAGAAGCTGAGGAGGATAAAGAGGGGAGAAATGATAACGATTTGGAGCAAAAACATGCCGAGAATATGAAGGTCTCAGCTTCTTTACAGGACGGCAGTTTAGCAAGTGAGAACAACATTGACTTGATGAGGTACTGCAAGTTTGCAAATGTTCCAACTAAAACTCGTTCTTCGTTGGCAATTAGGGGTTCAAAGGTTGACGTGGATACCATCGCTGAGGATGAGACCATGAGTGATAGCAAACTTTTCAAAGATTCTGGGGTCCAAGTCATAGACGTGCCTGTTGATGGTTCTGCTCTTAATGCTTCATGTCATCGAAGCCACAAACCAAACAGCCTCTCTGATGTTCTAAAAGCTCCATCCACGGAGGAAGATCTAGGTGTTTCACACACTTCCAGGCAGGGGCACTGCTCAATTCCTGGATCTTTTCCCAAGAGATCTATGATTAATCATCAAGAAATAGATGGGGAGTTTCCTGGATATGGAAGCAGCAACCCCATTGTTTTGGGGAGAGGTGAAAAACGACCACTAGATGATGACATTGATTGTAGGGAGGAAACTAAAAGACCTAAGGAATGGGCTCCTCCGTTGGAAACTCAGCCTGAAGGCTGCTTGCCCCTTTCCAACTCAATGGAAAATCAGCATACTTCAGTAGAGCCAAGTTCTTCACAAAGTGAGCATGTAACTTTGTCTACCGATCAGCAAAGTTCTGATATTTCACTGTTTTCCAGAAGTCACATAGAGTCAAGTGAGTACACAGAAGAAAAACAGTTATTTCCTGGTTCCTTTAAGACTTGTGACCTCAATCTTATAGAAGCTTCTGACATGAACGAGAATCGTGCTCCTGATCCTATTCTTATGTTTCGGTCTATTACTGAAACTGGAAGACAAGCAGCACCTGTAGATTTTGATTTGTCCATGAGTAGTAATAATTCCAATGTGCATAATAAACATGGTAAACGTGAAGTTGATGATAAAGACATTGAAGTGATTGATTTGGAAGATGATTCCATGCAAGAAGACAATACTTTTACTAATGCTGAGAGAAGGTAAGTTTCTACTTTTTACATTCATTAAGCTTTCCTTGCTTATACACTTGTAAACATTTTTATGGATGCAAGAGAAGAACTTCACTTTTGGACTTTTATTTGGTAGAAACTTCCTTAATATTACATTCTGACTTCGTCACTATATTTCCATGAAGATTTCATGGAAGCTTTCTTATTGTGAAGTTCTCATATGAATTTATCAAATTTCAACGAAACAGGGCTGATTCTGTATTTAATGTGCTGGATAACTTTCCTGATAACGTACATAATGCCACTGAGATTCCCAACCACCAAGACGGTTATGGACTTATGATATCAGAATTGCTTGGAAGTGATTCTGTAACCACAGATCTGAGTGCTCTGCACAATGATATGGACCTTCATAATGGACAGGTAATGGAATTGAATGCTTACAAGTCTTTGATTTTAAAGAAAATTTCACCGTCTTTTTGGTGCTTTGTTTGTCATTTGTTTTGATCGTCACAAAAATTCTTCTAGTTCATTCCTGTAATTGTTGAATACAATTTTCATCTGCCTCGTTGATAGCTATTAGGTTAGGATTTTTGCCATCATTGTCTCCCTGCTCTAATGAACACTTTACTGGTCATTGCAGGGGATTCTTGGTGATGACGATTCAATATACATGTCCTTTGGAGAAATACCGATAAGTATGTCAAAACTTCAGTTTAATTAATTTTGTTATAATTTCTAATGAGTATTTTATATTTATTCATAGTAGATGAGCTTTAAGAAGCTTCAAATAGCAGTTTTGAACTGTACTTGTGTGATTTTGAAAAAAAAGGGTGCTGGTAGGCATTTGAAAAAACCGTTGATATTTTATTGGCATGGAAAAAATTTCTCGAAACTAAGTAGTTGTAATTGTGTGATTTTGTTCTGGAGTAAATTTGGTTCTAGCTAAAACACAGCTAATCGCTTTTATAAGCTTTGGGGTTTTGATAAGTACTACTCCCACTGCCCCCAAATTCTTTGCCCATGATACCTTTCCAGAGTGTTTGAATTAATTCTTCAGCTTAAAAGTATTCTGCAATTCCTTTTGTGATTTACCCATAGCCATTTCAAAAAGTGACATCCTCTATAGAAAAACAAAAATCCTGTGCTAATATTGGAGAGTTCCTTCTGAAAGTCAGTTGAATATATATTTGAGAAATATCTTAAAATACTAAGAATTTGTGACCATATTGGTCTCAGAACAGTCATTTTGGACAAAATTTGAGAGGTGTCGGTAGTAACCTGGTTATTTCGTGATGAATAATATGCACTGGGTCTACTTCTTTCCATTGTTGATTGTACAAATTCGAGAAAGATAAGAATTTGCAGAAATAAGAAAGATCTTTTCCCACCTTTACTGAGGCCAATGTAGCGAGCACATACTGTCCAACTTCTTTTTATTTTTGTGAACAGATTTTTAGTGTTAAGTTATTTAACTGCCATCCACTTGCTTGTAAGTAATGGGTTTGTTTGTGTGTAAGGGTTTACACGGTGCTGGTGCTGTTCTTTCTGGAATTGGCTTGAACACATAAAGATTCGATGGCTGCTATTATTTTATTTTTTTTGTAAATAACTAGTTGCTCCTCTGCAAAAAGGGAAATCAGATAACCCTGGTTCTTGGGTTCAACTGTGAACCATATGACAGGACCAAAGCAGCTTTTTCTCAATTTGAAAATACTGAAACTGAATTTTTTATAAAACCTGCCTTGTGCAGAATGGGGGAGAGAAACAGAATAAGAGAGAGGAAAAAAAGGATGTGGAAGAGAATGAGAAAAGAACATAAATTTATGAGGAAAATTTCAAGATGCTTGTTATTCTGACCAATATTCAATAATAGCACGTACAAACTGAAACCCATTAAAATCTCGTCTAAACCAATCTATTCACCACGTGCAAATCATAACTACTTTTTATGCATATATATATATATATACATACATACATATATATAAATTCGTAGTAAGTCTTCAGTTAGGTCTTTATTTGAATCTCCATTATTGCTTTCTACCGGTCGCAACTGTCATCATTTTAATATTTAGCATTGAGTTTTTTATTCTCAGAACTTCAGATATTATGTTGCATAAGCCATGGCACAATTTTATTGTCCCTGTAACTTCTCAATGTACTTGTATTAAAAAATGCATTTGTTTATTGTGTATATAATCTGCACCCAGATCAATATTTGAGCGATGATCTCTCTGTCTCTATCTCTCCTGTCTGCCTAGCTAGACACATTATTATTTGATTTGTTGCAGGCTTCATCAGGCCCTGGGAGCAGCCAACACAAGATTATGGGAAACCGTTTTGAGAGGTTATGTATCTAGCTGTTTCATTGTCTTGTAAAAGATGTTATATGTGGTCATAGTCATTGCAGATCTTTAGTTGCAATAACTTTATTGTACCATGTTATGTCTGCTGTGTTTCATCTTGCTTGTAATGGATTTGAGCATATTTTCATTAGGAGGGTATTGGGAAAGACAGCAAGTGCTCGCTTTTCTTTTAATGCTTTTGCTGCACATATTTGTTTGAGACACATCTGAAAATAGTCTATCATAGAACATAAAATGTTGTACGATTCCTTTACTTGTTGTATGTATTAATTGTATGTGCGAGTTAGAAACATATATCTGCACCATTCTATAGAAGCTCAGAACATGATAAGTGATCACTTATTTAATTCTGGATGACAATTTTTTAATGCCTATTCAAATGACTCTTATCTTTTGAACTTCTCGTGGAAAATACTTCTAGGTCATCCATTTTCCACTGTTATCTGCTGCAACCGACTTTGTTTTATGGTTTAGCATCAATGAAGTTCGAGTTCTTTATAAATTACCCTAAGTTAGGTATTTCTTTTTCAATATGCTAGAGATTTAGTTGATCTCTTGATATTGTTTGATGTTGGTCAAGACTGTCGCATTTGCTGATTATGTTATCAATACCTTCAGGTTGGGTCTTTTGTGAAGGAGAAGGTAAGATTGTAAGCCTAGCTCGACATTGTTAACTATATTAGCCCCTTCTAAAATTAACCTAAAGATTCGTTATCTTTAGGTGTTTGGTCTTTTGTGGATGAGAAGGTGTTTAGACAAATCCCAGTTTCATACCATCAAATCTTTAGGTGTTTGGTCTTTTGTGGATGAGAAGGTGTTTAGACAAATCCCAGTTTCATACCATCTTTTTTCCCCTTAATGCTATTGTCAATTTTATCCTGTCTTAACCTTCGCATCAGTTGACAAGGCAGTTGTCATAGGAGTAACTTAGTATAGTACTTAGGGTATGTTTGGCAAGGTATGTTAGATATGATCGAACATAACTAAAGTAGAGATGTATGTGACAAAATTCGTCACTTGTGCAATCTAGTTCTTTCTAGTCAAGTTTACCAAAAGGTAAAGTATTTTGGAAATTACCAGAACCTGGGATGAGAATATCACCAGTTGCCATGCTAATGTGGTGTTTTCTACTTGTTTCTGACTTGCCATTATACTCATGTTCGGAATTTGGACAGAATTTTCATCAGGAGTTGATGTGTCTATTCGTCAAGCTGTCTACCTGAGAAAATGTATATCGAAAAGTGCAGAGAGTTAAAGAGGATAACGAGGTCTCTGCCAATGGACAACATAGATTCATCAAGAAAGGTTTGCCTAATTTATATCTTGTGGGAGCTTTGAGCAATGCTTGTCAAGATTACATACACATCATTCAAATTTAAGAAAGTCTAATTAGTGTAAGCAATGTTTTTCTATCATTACTCATTTATGAAATAAAAAAAGAAAAAATTAGCCCAAGTTTGGTTGTGCTAAAAATCAAGTTTTTAGTAGATTTAAGTAGTAGTTGATGAAATGTGTAGTTTTAAAAATTGATAAAAATAGTGGATCATTGGAAATAGAATTATATATATATATAGTTAGCAAACTTAAGTAAAGACCATTTCAGTTATTTTTTTCCATTTTCCTTGATTGAAATCCTTTCAGCCATTCTTTGGTATGGTCATGATTATTTCTCACACGCAAAAGGCAACCCATGTGGAATAATTAGGATTACGAGTTTAAGCCCTTCGAAGTTCGTGTCATAATCAGTTAAATTGAATTTGGAGGGTTCCCTTTTCTACTCAATACAAAATTGGATAGTTAATGTGACAATCCATATTTAGATTTGAAGGTATTATCATTATATTTACTGTTAAAATCATAAATGCAGAACTGATTAAATTTCAATTTATGCCTTGTTTGAGTCCTATTTTTACCTCATTAAAATGAAAAATATGATCGTTATCTACACATTAAGTCACCATTTTTGAATTTTTATCCTTGTGTGGGGCCCATAACGGCTCTATTTTTCATTCTCATTCTACAAATAATGTGGCTCAAATAGACTCTTAATATGATGAACATCATCAATTTCATTTATGAACATAACTTGTAGAAAACGTTTGCACTTAAATGAAAAAACAATAAAATTAAATATCGACATTAATTTCTAAAAGAAGTTTATATTTAAATGTATAAGTAATAAGTACATTGCACCACAATTAGTTGTCTCACATCATCTTGCATTTATCATTTGAAAATGGGGAAGTATAATGTCGATGAGTTAATACCCAGTGCACAAATCACATGCGTATGGTATGCATATGGGTTACTTTAAAATAAAAAAGCAATTCTTAATATGTATCCCATTTCTTTAAAAATTTAACATTGATGTCGTGAGCTCACTTAGTGTATTGCATAAAAAATCATAATGCAGTAGGCAATTATTATTTGGAACTTGGTTAAGTTCTACCAGTAGTATCGCAAAGCATTTAATATTAATATTATCATTTTACATTGAACATTGGGCGGGTGCGTCGATTTTCCACGCCTCATTCCCCTTCACACCTTTTATAACATAGACATAAACCTCGTAAAATATCTGGGATATACATTTTTTTAAAACATTCATTGACTCAACATTTATAAGGTTTTTATTCCTATAAACTTCATGTACACTCATGGATGCAATGATATGCCCTAAGAAGTATTAATAACATAAAACGTAATAATTAAGTATCAAGATCACATAATAACAAATTTTTGTAACACATTTATACATGAAATAAGGTGAGGTTTCCTTACTTGAAATCCTTAGCAATTACTTTTAGAATGGCAAATGGAGATGTCCCTATCAGCCCACGAGTTCAACATGCCCAAAAATCCTAATTCATTACCATTGATTTGAAAAAATGACTTGTACTCTATTGATTATTATCATATTTGATTAAATATATAATCTAATATTTAGTACCTTTAGAGAATTTAGCGCCTAATAGACGACAACAATCAACCACTAGTGAGAGAAGAGTTAAATTTCAAAGGCTCCAGGAATTAGTGTGTTTTCTTCAATGTTTTTAAAGCGTAAAGCGTGACTAGGTGTGGAGTCGAAACTTCAAAATTTACGAGCTTAAACGAGCCTGGGTGAGATTTGGGCATAAACAAATGTTTTCTTATTTATAACTCCAGTTTGGGGCTCCATTACTTCGAATTATAATGAAAGGAGTAGTCATTTTTATTTAAAAAATGTGTTGCTAAAAAGGAAGGTTTTTTCAAGTTTACATGCAATATTATTTTATTGAAAAATGTGTGATTGATAAGAAGATGGGAAAAATGAAGTTTAATTTAATGGGGATCAAATTGGGGCATAATATTATTCTAAAATTTTAATCATTTTAAAAATTATTTAATAATTAAATAATATATATTAAACATCTGAAATTATAAAATACAATATTTACTTAATAACTCTTATCATTAGTTAATTATTCAAATTTCAAGTTTTCAAAATGCAAAAATTAGAATAATTTTCATAGTTTCAATTTTCAGTTAGACAAGTCTTAATTAATAAATTTATAGGGACTTCATACATGCTTTTAGAGTTTGTAATAAAATGAATCTCAAGATCATAATTATGTAGTGTAGATAATACCAAAACTTAAATCTTATTTTACTATTTCGATAAAGTCATTTTTAACTTTTGTATAAATAAAATCTTTTAAAAACTTGAAATTAAAATCAAATGAATTTTTTTAATAATAATAAGCGCGTCTACGGAAGACGAAAGAAAATAAGAAAAAATTTAACTATTTAGAAATTGGAAAAAAAAAAGCGTTTATGTGCGAAGCGAGGTGTTTTGCATAAGCTTGAAGTCAAGACGATACATAGACGAGCTTTTTAGAATACTGATTTTCTTTGATACCACCAACTCATGATAATGAATTTACACCAAGATGCTTACAAACTAATATATCTAAAAAAAATAGAAGTCACTAAAAAAAGACTAATACAAAAACGACAAGAATGAATAGAAAAGTCATATTAATGTCCTAGTAAATCTCATAATTAGCAGTCATTTGAACACTTTAGACAATGATACTAAAAATTCACAGCCATGAATCTAAATCAATTTTACTGCGTGTGCTATTAATTTTAAAATTTAACTTTGGGCCCGACAAAAAACTCAGTTAACCTGGTTATGATCGGGCTAATCTTAAAAGTTGATTTTATGTAAGAAATAAATAATTAACATAGATAAGAATTTCTTATTTGTCCATGGATTCTTATGATTTACTTTAACATAGGTTAGTATCTTGTTTAAAACCTTGATTGAGGAAATATAAATATTCAAATATACTATCTGGGTGGATTTTAAAATAATATATATATATATATATATATAGACTAATTATATTACCACTACAAATTTTATTTACTTCACCACATTATAATTACACCACAAATAAAATATATTTTTAATAAATACACCACAGTAAACTTATAATTATAATCCTAATTCAGTAAAAATAAAAAATTGAAAAAGAACATAATATAATATTGTGTTACTTATCACCAATATTAATCCTCATTTCCTCAACATTTCCCCTCATTTATTTCATAGCAATTGTAAACAGAAGATTGGTGAAGAACACCATGCCATAATAAATTGAATGTTTGTCATAAATAATGAATATGTCCTAAAGGATCATTTGAAGTTGTCAGTAATTTGTTTGTGTTATCATTTTATTTGAAATATGAATTTTTAATGTATTCACAATTTCATTTTTTAATCTTGCAAGTCTATTTAGAAAACACTTTTAAGTGGAAATTAAGAAATTTTATCGACAACAACCTTATAATTTCATGAATAAAAAGGTTTTAATAATTCATCAGGCACATTTAAAACCCAACTTGAGGAAGCATTTATGACATATATTTTTGATAAATTGGACATGCTTCAGAATTGAATTAATAGACATAAATTTAATATTTGATTTATTCATACTTGGTCAGTAGTAAAGTATTGTGTATAATTGAATATATTGAAATTGTCATCATTTTCCTAACATCAAGGACAAATAAATTGAATTATGATAAGTTATAAAAAAATTTAAATTTATTAAGATCCTGTAAAAAATACAATATAACAATAAAAACTTCTTGTTGATTAAGAACAACTTTTGAAAATTCATATACCACATAGACAAAAATCTACGAAAATTGACGCACCTACATATATACAAATTCATTTCCGATTTATCTATATACATGCAATTCATGATATTAAATGGTGCAGCCTGTGCATGTCCCACAT